GTGTTATAATAGGGAACCAAAATGGGACCATAGTCTTGACAACCACCCATGTTCATTCAGAAACTCAGGCAAAGAAGTTCTCCAAGCCTAATGTTGCATAGTCTTGAGGTCAGAAATCTCATAGCGGATGTCTTTGTTTTTGCTTAAGCCCACCAACTCCATACAGAACTCCCTTCAGAATGGCGGCTGTGGAACTTCCTTACTAACACTATTCGAAGGTTTTTGCGATAAGTCAAGCCGCATGAGGTCCATAACACATTGCCTGAAAAAACGCTGTGGCTGTGTGTGCGCATTCTCTTGGGGAATGTGCTTTCAAATTTTGATCAGCGCCCCCACAAGACCGAAGCACGAAACTCTCGAAGCACGAAATAGGCCTACGAAATATGAAGAACACAGCATGGAGTCCTTGCCAAGACGGTTGCACGTGCACGGATCAGCTGAGGTTTTCTGGTGGCTGAAACCAATAATTGTCTATTCTGTTTCTTAGTACTTAGCAATACACCCCAAATAGTAATTGGATGCAACTTAATGCTGAAACCCTGTAGTGTATAGCAGTATACCTCTTACAAGCCCTTCTCAGTCAGCATAAGCTTCGCCAACTAGTTCTAGAAATGCGTCAGTTAGGTTCGGAACCCCAGTGATTACGTTTCTCATGCTCCGGGCTTGCATAGAAGACGGCCTCTCCCTCAACAAGGACAGTTTCGAGAAACATGACCTTAAACCCTGAACCCTAAATCCTAAATCGCTAAGTGACTAACCCGAAACACTAAGTCCCATCTCTGTATCAAGCCGCCGGACCAGTCGTGCCCACGGTACCATTCTGAAAAAGCATGGCCATCAAGGCTATCATCGCCTAGGTTACGACATGGCCTACTTGTTTGAAACTACGGGCACCAGTACAGGGCTTGAATCCTGGGGTCCTCATGTACCCATTGCATACCCCATAGACCCTAGAAGCCCAACTAAGGGAACTTAGTTAGGACCCGGGAAATGGGTAGGGGCCCATGTGAGGGGTCACTTGGTGAGGACCTTGGATACGTCTATGGACATTTTCGGGCCTAGGGCACAGGATCTAGGGGTCTAGTAACAGCTGTTAAGTGTTTTCTAGCCCCACTTACGGCCTCCAAACTGGTCCTACCGAGGTTACCCCACAAAAGGCATTTACAAATAATTACTGACCCCTCCTGAACTTCCAAATACCCTCTCCAAAACTAAGCGGAACCAGTTCAGGGTTGGGTTGAAGGTCTAGGGACTGAGGTTTACTAAACCCGAAACCCTAAATTGTAAACCCTTAACACTAACGGTTAAAGGATGTATGATTAGGGAGATCTCAGAGATGCTGTCGGGGCACATGTGGCAGTTTAGGGTTTAGGATAACATCATGACTCTCACTTTCCTGTAGTCTTAACCCTAAGTCACTGATCCCAGAACCAGATGTAAACCCCAGATCCCAGGCTCTGAATCGCTGACCAGATACTGTAGAAGCTTGCATACTTCCCAATGATCGCCGCAAATATCCGTAACAATGGCATATTATGCACCCAGACCTTATTCGAATACAAAAGTTGCCTACATGCCATCCCTGCAAACCCTTGTAGAAATCCAGTTCCCACTGCCGTTGCAAAGCAATCTTCTTTTCCAAGTGAACCTTCAAAACAAGGCTGCCATGGGTATTTATAAGCATATATTGGGCTCTGCCTGAACGATATTCTTTTCGTCTTCTGCAGTACTCCCGATTCGCCCAGCGACCAGTCGTCCATTGGCAATCTTAGCTGAAAGGTTGGTCTTCGTTACCTGCAACCCACACTTTGGGGTTTACTGGGTTGCTGTTAAGGAACTTAAATTAAGTTACTATATTGGGGAAACCCTATTATTTACTATATATACCCATCATGGTAATCCTAAACCCTAAACCCTATATAACCCATTATAGTAGTTTCCATTTTCTTTTCCATTATCCCTATATATACCCATTATGTTAACTTAACTTAAGTTCCTTAACA